GAGATCCTGTTGCCTGCTGTTTCAGAGCTACATTCCCTGGAGAATCAGACAGAAAAAGTGTCTCCATTTGTACAGCGCTGGGGAATTTGGTGATATGAGTACAACTATGATTTTATTTGTGAAGTTAATGTAATATAAATCTTTATTTATCCCAGAGGTATTTGAGAGGTAACAGTTGGAGTAGAAAATAGAACAGCCTGGTGACATTAACAAGTAATACACCGTTAACCTCTGCTTTATCACAGTGTCAGCAACATTTCTAAAACTTCTTTTCCGCAATCAGCAAGATTTATATATAATCTACTTATTGCCGTGCTTGAATCCAGTTACTTTCTAGACTTGTGGTACTTCTGCTTAAGTGTTTTCACTCAAGCTCTCAGCTGCTGGTTGAGAAGCAAACAAAATGAAGCATTGACACACGAAGGACTGCATTACCATTCCTAGACATTATTTTCTAGGAAGCAGAAGTTTAATATCTGGAGTTGAGCAATAGAACATATTTTCACAGAATCATAAAATCTTCTGAATTGAAAGACACCCTTAAAGGCCATCCAGTCCAACTCCCCTGTAGTGAACAGGGACACCTACAGCTATGTGAGGTTGCTCAGAGCTTCATCCAACCTGACCTTGAACGTCTTGCAGGATGGAGCACACACCTCCTCTCTGGGCAACCTGTTCCAGTGCCTTACTGCCCTTACTGTAAAAAACTTCCCCCTTATATCCAACAAAAATCTCCATTCTTTGAGTTTGAAACCAAACTGTTTGTCCTACTGCTAAAGAGTCTGTTCCCTTCTTTCTTGTATTGAAAGGTTCCTATCCTGTCTCTCCAGATGTTATTTAAACCACACCCCAGCATAGCTGGCATTTTAGTGGTTTTGAAGAATCTAGCAAGCAAACAAAGGCTTAAACAAATAATTTTCACAGAAACATTTTTTAATAATAGGAAAAAAAAAAAAAAAAAAAAGACAAACAAACAAAAAGCCGTCATCATCTGTGATTAACGAGGAGACCAAGGCGGGAGGGCCGTGGGGAGCTGCGGAGGAACCGCGGGCAGAGGCAGCGCTCCGCGGTGAGCGGGCTCCCTCTAGTGGTCATTGGGGAGCCTCGGCGGCCCCGCTCTGGGGGAATGCACTGCACTGAATGAGATCAACCTGTGCCGGTAGGGCAATTCAGTGGGATTCATTTCGCGCTCTGCATTTGTGAGATTATTTTATACCTGTACCTGCAGCCTTCAAGCCTCGCATCCGTTAGCCAGAATAAGACAGGAGAGCAATGATTCTCACACACCTGGAGAAAAATGCAATGCACATAGTGAAAGGCATTAAAGATCATAGGGCATCAGAGACAAAACTGGCAGGAAGAGTTCCTGCTGGATTCTTTATCGTAGAATCATAGCATTACTCTTCTAAATGCAACCATGAATGAACTGAATGCCCCTGAATGAAAATTATCACTGACTCTTCCTCCTAATTTCCCAAGCTCTAACTGGAGAAAATTCAGTGGACAAATCAGCACGTTAGAAGCATTCCAGATTCATTTTTGCACTGTTTGGAAGTTTGTAAAGTTGAAAGGCATGGCCTGCCATCAGGGTTGGTCTGTGAGCAGCTAAAATCTTCCATGCGAGGCTTCTGGTACTGGTCCACAGAGTTTACAGCTTTGTAACTCTACCACAGCAGCAGCAGCAATTTAGCCAGAGGCACTGAAGTTGCCTATCCAAGGGAAATGAGAAGCACATGTGCCTCTGTTACAACCTCTGGTAAACTTTTTTTGCAGAAGACCAGCAACACTACACACTGCACTGGCAACATGGTGCAGTCCTTAAGTAGCAAGGCAGATCTGTTTTTCACTGTTGAGATCTGCCCTCTGATATTTCTAGTGTTTATTTGGTATTGGTTTGGCCTTAACAAGTAAATAGAAGTTCGCCCTTCAGGGAAAGGAACAAAGCCATAGCTTTCTGAGCACTGGAGGCTGCTCTACCCTCAGCCAGTGCATCCTGAGACCTGACAAGAGGCAGAAATGGGGGAGAAATTGGAGGGAGCAGTGTGGAAAGGGGGATAGTACAAGGTAGAAGAATCAAGTTCATCACCTTCCTCCACGCCCTGAAGCTAATCCTTTGATTCTCACATCTAAATCTTGCCCTGGCTCTCTGAAGCAAGTACCCATGAAATTTTGGGTTGTTCCTGCACCCTTCTTCCTAGCACTGGCTCCTAAAGATGAAATAGTAACTATGCCTGTTAGCTCACATACAGAAAGTCTGTGTGGTACCAAGGTGACAGATAGTCAATATGCTTTCAGCAGGAGATGATAGCTTGCCATTTCCTCTATTGCACAGGGTCTTGGGAAATATTCAAGAGACATTCTTAAAATAAAGATTTGCATGAAAATGAAGTTAAGAGTTCTCTGGCATTTTTAAGCAGACTTGGCATCACATCCAACACCAGGCTTGTCCTGGCCTCGTGGTGTGTGGGCCTTGTCACTGAAACCCCACACCTAGCAGCTGTCCTGAACACTGTCAATGAGGAGAGTCTGGGTTTCTGCCAGACAGCACCAAAAAGCCAACCAGCAGTGAGGACCTGATATGGGTTACTGCAAATCAATTATCATAAGCAATGGGTAGCACTGAAAGTTTAAGTAAACAGCAGTAATCTGTATTACATGTATTGGCAAATAGTTTCATCAGCATGCTATGGAACACCTCACAAATAAGATTGAACCTTGTTCAATCCACTGTAGTGTGTTTGCATCAGAAGTTGCTGTTCACTCAGTGGTCCATCCTTCCCAGCAGCAAGGTTTGTCTCCTCCAGCTGTCCCCAGGGTAGCTACAGATCTGGTTTGCATGTGGTCAACCTTCTGGAGATGAGGAACTACCACAGGAAAAGTCATCTCCAGTCTGATTTCTCTAGCTAGAAGAGACATCACCAGTATGCATGTGGTCAAGTTCCTAACTCTGCAGAGGCTTCTGGTGCTACAGTTTGTGCCACTGTCACATTTTCTAAAACTCTGAGTTCAAACTCCTCCATTTAATCTGTGTTATATGATTTAAACCTGATTACAACTCACACCTGAAGGAAAAGTCTAAAATTAGATGAGATGGTTTTCTCTCCTTCAGTAGAAATCTGTTCTAAACGTCATCAACTGGGAGATTTTAAAATTCAGTCACTACTGAGCTTGATTGAAACATATTTCAAAATGCTAACAATGGCAGAAAGGCAGATTAATTTTTAATTAAATGAAAAACAGTCATCACTGTTAAAAGAGACGAAATGTACTAGTTTTTAAATAGATAGGAAATACTGTATGTTAACTGCAGATCAGTGATGGCATGGTCTCGTTAAAATATAAAATGCTGTACGAACTCCAAGGGGGTAACTACAGCTCAGACAGAGTCAGAGTAGAGTACAGGTTTCTGAATTCTTCTGGAATCATCTTTTCTGGTCTAAAACTGCTAGATCAGGTACTAGGTCAGGTTGCCCAGGGCCCCATCCATCCTGGCCTTAATCACCTCCAGGAATGGGACATCCACAACCTCTCTTAGCATCCTGTTCCAGCACCTCACCACCTTCTTAGTGAAAAACTTCACCCTGACATCTAATTTAAATCTTCCCTCTGTTAGTTTAAAAACATCCCCCCTTGTCCTATCACTATCTGTCCATGTAAGCAGTTCCCGCCTGTTTATAGTCTCCTGCATATAATCTGTTTATAATCCTGTTGATAATTTCCCTTTAAATACTACTTTTAAAACTCCTCTTAAAGCCTGTAGTGAGGTTTCCCCCCCTCTTCTCCAGACTGAATAAGCCCAGCTCCTTCAGCTTGTCTTTACAGGAGTGATACTCCAGCCCTTTGATCATCTTCTCTGGACCCTCTCCAAAAGCTCAACAACTTCACTGTGTTGGAGGCCCCAGACCTGGGTGCAATATTCAGGGTCTCACAAAGGCAGAGCAGGGAAGGATGATCACCTCACTCACTCTGTTGGCCAGCGCTCTTCTAATGCAGCTCAGGATACCATTGGCTTTCTAGGATGCAAGTGCACACTGCTGGCTCATGTTAAGTTTTTCATCTACCAGGACTCCTAAGTCCTTCTCAGCAGAGAAGGACTCTCAAGGAGTTCTTCTCTCAGTTTGCATACGTATCCGGGATTACTCTGATCCAAGTGCAAAAACCTCGCACTTTACTTTGTCAAATCTCATTAAATTCACACAGGTCCAACTTTTGAGGTTATCAAGGTCCCTCTGGATGGCATCCCTTCCTTCTGCCGTATCAGCTGAGCCACTCAACTTGCCATCATAACAAACTTGCTGAAAGTGCACTTGATCTAATAATCTATGTTACTGATAAAGAACTTAAAGAGAACTGGTCCCAAGACAGACCCCTGGAGGACACCACTCATCAGCCTCCATCTGGATGTAGAGCCATTGACTACAACCCTCCTGCTGCGACATTCTCACCAGTTCCTTATCCACTGAATAGTCTACCCTTCAAATCCATCTGTCTCCCATTTAGAGATAAGGATGTGGCAGGAGACACATCAAAGACCTTACAGAAGTCCAAATAGATAACACTGATTGCCTTCCCTTTTCCACCAGTGCCATCACTCCATCACAGAAGGCCACCATATTTGTCAGGCACAGCTTTCCCTTGGTGAAGCCGTGCTGGCTGTCGTGGATCACCTGCTTGTCCCTCATGTGCCTTAACATGTCTTCCAGGAGGATCTGTTCCATGATCTTCTGAGGGAGAGAGATGAGGCTCACCAGCCTGAAGATTAAGATTAAAGACTTTTTTGGCTAGATCTAAATTTCTTCCCTGTTATCTCTCTTGTCTTTTTCCATGCTCAGAAGTTTCCCGTGGGCACAAAGAAGGCAGTGGCTCCTGCAGAGCAGAAATTTCATACATGAAACTGAACTCCTTACCATGAGCAGCTTCTTCCACTTCAAACACAACTATTTAAGCTAAGTAATAAACCTAAGAGAAAAATCAATAGCCAAACTATGTCTCTGTTTTAGATGGATACACTACTGATGATATTGAATTTTACTGGAATGGAGAGTCTGCAGTAACTGGAGTTAGTAACATTGAGCTCCCACAATTTTCTATCGTTGATTATAAGATGGTATCAAAGAGAGCGGAGTTCACAACAGGTAAGCATCAGCTAGTTTACAAAGCTTCTCCCAGATAGCAACGTCTAACTTTTCTTAGGCATCACTCGTTATTTGGCTTCATTCTTTCAGGAGCGTATCCTCGGTTATCACTTAGCTTCCGGCTTAAGAGAAATATTGGTTACTTCATTCTGCAAACATATATGCCTTCCACGTTGATCACAGTTCTGTCATGGGTATCTTTTTGGATCAATTATGATGCCTCTGCAGCCAGAGTTGCTCTTGGTAAGCTATTTTGTAAATCACTACAGTATACTTTTCAAATCATAATGCCAGGTAACCATTTTGTCCTACCTCTATTTTGACCTGTCACTCTTGGGCCTCTATTTTGACACCCGTCAACTAATCACATTTGTGTCTAGAGCTATTATCTAGATGCATTAACAAAATGTGATTAGAGCAGACTAAAAAATAATTTCATCCAGCTAAAAACAACAAAAATATATACACTAAAATGCATAACACAGTCATGCTGTGAAAGGCTTTAATTCAGAGCATTCCTTTAATAGCAAAAGTTGTATTAACACAAGCATTTCACTTTCTCTTTACCAAAGATCATTTTACTATAAAGCCACACTACCTTCTTTCAATTCTATGCTTGCACTCTTAAGTTAGTTACTTAATCCCTTTTCCTAGGACAATGTAATCTAGTCTTTGGGCCAAGCAGAGCTACTGCCATAAGAAAATGAAGAATTATTTCTTCACATAGTGGTTGACTTTGCTATCCAAGTCATCTAGCACTACAATATAAATACATTGTGTCTTCAACACTGACATCTGAATTCTTTGTTTATGCTACATAGGATCAGAAAGATACATAAGGTAAGGAAGGGCAAGTTCCCACCAGTGACATCTATCTTTTCAGTTCTGGGAAAAGCATTCCCTTAGATGTTAAGGATCTGATCACATAATTAAGCTATCAGCATTACAAGTGCATGGTGGGCAACACTGTTATTCTCATATCTTCTTCACCATTTTTTCCCACCAATATCCACTTCTTTCTTTTGCAGGAATCACAACTGTGCTGACCATGACCACCATCAGCACCCACCTTAGGGAGACACTGCCAAAGATTCCCTATGTCAAGGCAATTGATGTTTACCTGATGGGATGCTTTGTGTTTGTGTTTCTGGCCTTGCTGGAATATGCTTTTGTAAACTATATATTCTTCGGGAAAGGACCCCAGCGTCAAAAAAAGGCAGCAGGCAGAGAGACAGGCAAGAAGAGCAGCCTGGAAACACATAGGGTCCAGGTAAAATGTTCAAGCTAACATTTCAAACCTGACTTTTGCTGTGACAGTATTGTTGAATATGATGATAGAAATGCAGTTGTAACATCCATGCAAAAGCAGTTAAAATTGCCTAGAGAAAAAATATTTTAAAGGACATCGCAGCATGTTTGTTTCAGTCTTCAATTGAAAACAGAGTAAGAAACTACAGAATATGTAAATGACTATTCAGAACATGCAGGTCTTTGCAGCACAGAAAAAACAAAAGGAGTACAAGAATGTCAAACATTTACAACTTCAACTGTAAAGATGGACTCAGCTATGGAAGGTGGTACAGAATAAACATTTGTTATACCATTCCCTTTTATACACTAAAAGATCACCAAAAAGTAGAAAGCAAAGATAGATTCTGTTTCTTCAATAATTCTCAAACATAGCCTACACCAATGAATTCTCAGGAATTCAAGGAGAACTCTGCCAGACTATAACAGCTCTCACAGATGTTAGGATTTTTTTCCTCAGACTAAATTCAAGCAGATCACATCTGCTCTTCCATGTATATAAACTAAAAAAGAAAAGAAAACAAACAAAAAAAAAAACAACCTGATATTTTCTTTACAGGAAAATTTTAAATTTTCCAGTATGTCACTGAACACTTGCAGACTTCTGTAAACCTATTCCAGTTTCACCCAAATTTCAGAAATAAACTTTTCCTTAATTACATTTGACCTAGTCTGACTCAGTGAAAAATACATATTGTAGTGAACCAAAAAAAATTCTTTCTACTCTCTGATTTTTGACTACATATTCCATCAGGATGGATCCCATCCAAGCTATCTCATATGCTTCTGTGCAGTTGTTGAGGTCATCACTTTTGGATGAAATATTTGAGTTCTCTGTTTAGAGCAAATAATAAGACCAACATAAAACGCTTTTACCAGATTACTGTAATTTTACACTTATGTCAAGAAGTGCATTTCTGAAATTCTGATGTTTTCTTAGTCCTGGAATTGTGTGTCTACCTGGATTTTCTGTGTTCTTGCAGTCACACCACAGCAGCTAAGCACCATGCTATCAGTCCCAGCAAAATCATGAGCTCATTAAAAGTCCTTACCTTCATTTGCCTCCTGGTCCAGTACACAAGATGCTCTATTACAACAGTTGCAAAATTCAGCTCAGGTTTGTAGCAGTCTCTAAGGCCACAGAATATTATCCTGCACCAAGCTGAGGAAATATGGATCATTATTTCCATTATGGATTGTTCTGTGCAGATACTGTCAATTTGTTTCTATGGAAAACAAGGAAGAAGAAAAACAAGATCCACAAACTGGAACCAGTCTCTTTCACAGCTCCTAGGCTAACCCAGCCTGGGTGAAACAAAGCACAAGTGTTCACAATGAAGAGTGATGTGTTGGCAATGCACACACCTGAGTTGGGATAAGAGAGTCAAAGCACAGGTGAGCACTTTTCCTTTGTATATGGTTAGCTCATTTGAATCACAAAATGCTCTAGCTCATAAAGAAGCGCATTTTTCTAGATGTTGTGCTGGTAGAGATTATACCAAGAATGGGATGGGGTAGATTTGCAAATTGTCAAACATATGCCAGAATTTTTCTGAAATCAAATGTGAAGTATGGACATTTTGTACCGTAATTCAGTAGTGTTGACTCTTTAGGGTGCAATTCCATTCTGATACTGAGAACGAGCAGACTGCTTTCTGTCTGTATACTGCAGGTTTGACAATTTATATGTCAAACACATACAGAAATACACATATGCAGATACAGGCATGTGAACAGATACTAGGGGGGTAAGTTATTCCACTGGGAGACACCAATATGTGGCCTTGTGAGCACTCACTTTATTTAGCAATGCTGATGTTCAACAGCAGTACTTCTGGTTTTGGCAGGCAGAATGTACGTGGTTGGAGCCAGAAGGACACAGTAAGCTTGTCTGATCCAGGTGAAGACAGTTCTCAGCTGCTCTCCATCAGCTTTTGAGATTTTTCAGTGATATTACGATGATCTGTACCAGAGCAGGGCAGAGCCTCTTCTGAACTCAAAAGAAGTACAGTTGCAAGTATGCACAGCTATGGGATATTTATCCCCTTTTGCTCTTAACTCGCATTGCATATACGGGCAGGGACCTATAACTAACAAAAGGTAGTAACTGTGGTTCCTGTCTTTGTGCTAGGTGAAGATACTGTTTGCACCTGACATGCAACTCTCCCAGCTTGACTTCCTTCACCAGATAATCAAAACACTAACCAAAATGTGAGGAAAAGAGGAAACTGATCTGGACATTAGCACAGAAAAGATCACTGAGTAACTGATATCATCCTGCTGTTCTGCACTATAAACTGAAGAAAGTGAAAATAAGGCCACTCTAGTTTTACAATACATATCATTTTATATTTTAATACACAGGGGAAAATGTATTAAACAAGCTTTCTGTTTCTCTGAATAAAATGTAAAAACTGATTCTATCTCCTTGTCTGTTTGTCAAAGGAAGATGTCACAGAGGAAATCAACGTAATTATGGATAAATAGGACGCATCTCTGATCAGATTGGTAACATTATCTGTGAGTCTCTAGCATAGCCCTTCTCTGCAATACTACTGCCAGCACACTAGCCTGAATTCCATGCTAAATTAGTACAGATTAAACATTACAGATATTTCAGGAAGTCGCATTTATGCACGCTTTCAAATGGCAAAAACTACGTGATTTTTGATGCCCCTGGCATTTGTAAGGCTCTTTGCTTCAAACTGCAAAGCTTGCAATTCAAAGTCTGAATTGCTTCATGATATATACAACTCATGCCACCTAAAATGATTTAAATAAAACCCATTAAAAAAAAAAAAAAGGAATAATTCATAACAGTTAGTTTAGGAACTCATACATTGCTTGGTTTGTAATAAACTGTCAGTGCATATTAATTTGAGAAAAATCTCTGTGAATCAATTTAAATTGTAAACACTTATGTGCTGTCTTCACAAGAGAGAAGTAATAATACTGCCTAACGATGCTTGCACTGCTGTCACCACTGTTACAGCACTAAAGTAAACTAGCTTACACATTAGATTATGCAATCAAAGACAGCTCAGGTAGCTATTTGGTAAAACTGAGGAGAAAAGGTTGACCCATCAAAAACTTCTGAGAATTAAAAAAAAATCTAATTTTACACAGCAATCTGAGACCTTTGCTTTTTCCACAGAAAATGTCAGAATTTGAGAGTCGTTTATAGTCATTTATGGTTAAAGGATTCCTCTAGAATAGGAAACCCTAGCTTAGAGAGTCTTCCTGCTTAATAGACTTGACTCATATCTCAAATGAATACTGCAACCACACGGGTCTGGGACCAGCTGGCCTCCCTACCCCAGAATATGCAAGGTGGTGGGAACTGTGACATTCCCAGTGATTGCTCATTTCACAGTGTTGTAAAGAATCAGTTGCTAAACCTGAATGAGTGAATGTTATGTCTGTGGCAGCTTCATTCCTCCTTTTAGAAAGCTCTTTACAGATATCTCCCTCACTTCTTCATTTTCAGTGAGCAAGGACTTAGAGTGGCACATCTCATGCTGCCTTCCAGCTGTCTTCCACCACAGTTCTTGAGGACTGTGTGCTCAACTTGGAGTTTTCCTTGAATGTGCTTCAAAATTTCTGTAGGTTACACCAATCCCTAGCTCTTCTACTTCTTGCTAAAATGGTAAAGACCAGAGCATGAACAGAGTGAGGCATATCACGGAGGTGTTTCACTGGCTACATATTGGCAACAGGTGATTTTTATTTTTTTTTTCCTTTGTATGAACATATTTGCACTCAGTCTTGGTTTTGACTTTGGTGTATTTGGGGCAGGCACAAGGCCACAGCTTACAAAAGCAAATGTAACATGCAAGTGTCAAGACCAAGTTTTAAAAGTTTCATGTAAGAGGTCTGTTTTCTGTTGTGTATTCTCTTTCTGTGAGCTAAAGTGGAAGTTTAAATATCTGGGAATTTGAAATATCTTAGAAATCTTCACGAGTTTTTACTATAAACATGTAGTAAAGATCTTCATCCAAAGATGAGTGAAAAAGTAAACCCTTTGTAGTAATGCAACCATTTATGTTCAGTCACTTGCACATGAAAAAAAGCATTGATATTGAAACACAGCTTGTGCCAGCCACGTACATGCCAGTTGCAGTTTCCAGTTCTTTTCTCAAGCACATAGAACAATGTAATAAACAACAGCACAAATAAACACAATTGAAATAACAACTTCTGATAACAACATAAAAAAATGCAACTGCATGTAAGATTTCCTTGAGTAAAATGGATTTTTAGTCTGTTTGCAGATGAGCAAATTAATGGTATGCTGTGGGGAGCAGAGATTTCCATCTCTACAACAGATTCATTCTCCAGAATTAATCTTCATCACAAGCTTTATACAATAACTGGTATAATGCTCATATACCTACATGTTCTTCATATGAACAACTTACCATTACAAAAACTCTTTCTGAAGCTAACCTACAGCACTAAAACTGTATAAAAATGACAGAGATTGAAACATTTTATTTTCACCATCCATCTGTGAGACAGCACGGGCTGGCTGAGGAACCTATCCTAACTGATATTCCTTCCTTGGCGCAGGTTGAGCCCCACGGAGACATGCTGCTTAGCACACTCAGCATAAGAAATGATGTCAGCAGCTCGGATGTGTTCTTTAGCCGCCGTGTTGCCCAAGGCCCTATGTTCCCCAAGGCCCACACATCTGACGGTGCTGGCCAGCAACACAGAAGGGCCCTCTCTGGTAGGGCACCCTACAGCAGGAGTGCACTGGACAGGCGTAGGCTTCATCAGAAAGGGCACTTGCGAAGGAGGGCATCCCAGATCAGAGTCAAGATACCGGACTTGACTGATGTCAACTCCATAGACAAGTGGTCCAGGATGGTCTTTCCCGTCACATTTATTCTTTTCAATGTTGTTTACTGGCTGTATTATGTACAGTAATGTATGCAATAATGTTGCTGTACACTAATGTATTGAGGCTTGTTTCTTTTCCGTCTCAGTTTCGCTATGAATAACTGCAATAAACATAACGTGAGATTTTCAAGGTAAGGTACCTATCCAATGAATACCTCTAGATCTAGGCTTTCAAAGCAAACTCTCAAATAAATGAAAAAGCACCCATACTCACACATTCTGATTGGAATATTACTAAATTCCTTAATTTCTACAGTATGCATCACTCACAACTTTCCAGCATTTGCTTTTGTCTTTTTTAAGTGGAATAAAATTTAGCCACATACTATAATCCCCTGGCAACATATTTCCAAACAAGATAGTAAAATCACTCAGAGTAGTCATCATGTCACAGTATTTAAGTATTAAAAGTGTAAAGAAACCAGAAGAAATAATTTTTGCAAGATTATAACTGTTGCATCAACACACAATTTCAAAATAGTTCTACTAAAAGTGTTTTCATGTATGAGATATCATTCAAGGAGATATAAGCCAACTAATACTTCAGCGAGGCCAAGATCTTCAAAGGAAAGAAAGGGAAGTGGAGACAAACTCCACTGAGTTTCCAGCCATGGAATCAGAGGTTTGGACCTAACTAGAATTTTGTTATTTCCACAAAGTAGCAAAGTTGAAATTGATAAGAAAACTATGCCATCTGCAATTTTGTATTAAAATCAGAAAATGTCTTAATTCCTGCAAGCAATTGCTACAGGATACCCCAGACCCAAAGCAGACTGTTTTCTTGGCTCTCAGATTTCCTGTATCCAGTAATTGCAACACATCTTCCCAGGAGCTAGCAGAGATCTGGGAATAGATCAAGCAAGAGTTCTGCACACAGGGTCCTACAGATTTCCTGACTCTGATGAAGAACAGAAGACATAGCCAAGCCTCAAGGCATACTAGTGGTGCTGGATACATGGCTCTTCCCACTCTCAGAGCTCAGATTAGGCCAACACCACTGCATGTTGCCAAACATAAACCCAGGCAAGGAGCCGAGCCCCAGTAACCTGCTTCAGCTGAGGAGTAGTAGGTCAGCCATCTCCTACTTGCAGCAAACCTTCTAACAGTCTAGAAACTGTCTAGAATGATAAATGCCCAAGAATGGGAATAACTTCAATGCATTTATTACAAAAAACATGAAGCTGCCAACAGGCATTTGGCATGGCTAATCCAGTGGGCTACTTGAGTCTATCAGTTTTGTTGTGGATTCCAAGGTCTCAATCTCATCCCATCTTCAATAGAGCACAGAAATTGTCTCAACCTTTAAGGGAACAGTTGCCGTGACATTTAAGAGATCACTGTGTGCTACAGGTATTGAAACACCAACAAAGACTCTTCTGATGGTCTAATGTACCTTCAGCCTAAGGTCAAAACTGTAACTTTGCATATATGTATCTATCTGCTGCTATCAGTAATAAAGGGACCCAACATCAAATGCAGTCTGCAAATCACTTTTAAGAAATAGCACCTAACTGTAACACTCAATATCATCTAAACCAAAAGAGAAAAGGGAAAAAAGCTTTCAGATGCTAACCTGTTCCTGTTAACCTCTCTCCAACTCAGAAATGCCAAACTAGTTCAACTGATTGGACACAGTCAAGGGCAGAGTAGAAAGAAAGCCCATGAAAACAGAAGTAGCAACCAAAATATAATAGATTCAAAGACAGATATATCTGGAAATAAATTCAAAGAAAGCAACACATTCTGTATGTTGGTATTGTAAGACGTGAAAAACAGTTTTTGCACTGATTTCCCAAAGATATTCCCAGGAAGGCCACATCAGTTCCAGTAGTATAGAGATATTACAACCCCTCTTTCCCACTACAGCAGTGAGATCATTCGGCTCATAGGTGGAGCCAACATCCAATGCAATGCAACACTGAAACAAGATAATAAAGGATAAAATAATAAAGCATACTTAGCCTTCTGTAGATCAAAGACCTGCTCTAGAGGTCTTAAATATTTTTTTCTTGTAGGTTCCTAGCATCTGGATACGCATAGTTTCTAATTTATGTGTCATCCAGTTTGTTCAATCACAGATAATAGCAGCGGGCTACAATTAATTAAATCCACAGCACCAACCCATGAAAGGAACAGGGCTGAGGATGGGTCATTTACAAAGAACTGTAATAATGCAACACCCCTTCAGTGGGGCACGTTCCAAAACAGCAGGGTCCAACTTACCATACCGTGAGTCCTCCAATACAGGGCACCAGTAGGAACTCCAGGAACCCCAGCCTTGGTACAGGTTTTGTACAGTATGCACCCAGCCCTGACTGTGCTGGGAGCTGAAAGCCAGCCACCACCCAGAGTGAGGAAACAGGCAGGGGTTCTCAGCAGGAGGTTTGGCAGCAATGGCTAACGGCTGTTACACAAAAACAGACAAGAGGCCCTTACTGCAGGTTGGCAATATCTCATCCCAGAGCCAGCATCTTCGGCCTTCAACACAATTCCTTCCAGCCCATTTAACCACTTGACTCTGGTAGGGAAAACTGAATTTGACACACAAGATTGCAAGGAACATTTGGTTTAGACTAAAACTACTTTTTAGCCTCAAAAGAGAATTAAACCAAAGCTTGGGAACAGCTAGCATATTTTCCATTTTTTTCCAAGTGTTTTTAGCAAAAAGAAAAAAAAAAAAATCAGAACACATTTCTCACTTTTCTCACTTTAGAGCAATATCTTGTCAGTAAGGAAAAAGCAGAGGTTATGAGAGACATGGTTTGGAGAAGTGCAGCTATATATGGGAGCCTGTGTCCACTGCCATCTGCTGTTGGAAGTTGGTGAGTGCAAAAGAAACACAGCCTCTTCCTAGCGATATGCTGCAGTCATCTGAGTGGCTTTAAGTGATAAAGGTGAGTAATAGACATTTCAGCTCTAAACTCCTCAGGAACAGACTTCCAGCTCAGAGTAGATTAGGTGCTGTTGTTAATTAGATTTCAGCTAAGCTCTCCCTTAAAATACGTGCAGCTATTTCATGCAATTTTTGAAAGTTACTAGATTTAAAGAAACTTGTATTGGAATTCCTTCCTAGCTAGGTTTCCCAAAGATCAATCTTCTACTATCACTACATGTGTGTAAATACATGCACCTATCCAAGAGTCTGCCAGTAATATTTCATTCCACTGGCAATTTCACTCTAAAGGCAACAGAAGAGTAAGGGCCTGTGTGGAACAGCATTCATACAAGTTTCATCAGAACAGAGAACAAAGCTGTTAATCCATTGCCCTTCTCTGGAAGAAAGGGAACCCCAGCCTTAATAATCATTGGGGAATTCACATGGGATCACAATTCTGCACCCAGATCCAGAGGGAAATGGGGTTCATTAGTTCTTATGCTCTTAAAACTATTTTTTCACAGTTATAATAATCTTTCAGATTCATACCAGCCTTACTTCTCTTCAGCAGTATTCCATCTAAATTATGATTGAAACAGCAAGTGCTGTGAACGCTGATGATGTTAGACTGGTAACACGTCTACAATTTGCAGTTCTCTGAGAGCTAAGCTAATCCATCTGATGGTTCACATCTCTGAAACGTCATGCTGGCTGTTGAGACCAATTTAACCACGTATGACCTGATGCTAGGAATACTTTCCCCCACAGTCCAGCACCAAAGCCAACCCAGCAGACATGCAGCAGCCTCTAGTTAGTAAACTTTCCAGATGTCCCAGCACCTTGTGATACCGTAGCACCTTGTAAAAGTCCACAGAATGACTCTGTGAGATTTGCCTGCTTTTCTACATCATGACTTGATCTCTTGTTCTTTCTCTAGAGGTCTTGAAGTAGGTACAAAGAGCAAATGTATAGAAGGAATACTGCCAAACATAATTAAAGTGGATATAAAGAAGTAAAAAAAAAAGGCTAACTTGATGCACTTAAGAAAGCATTCTCCTACAGCAGACAAGGAAAAATCCCTTTTTTCCCTAATATTTCATTATTAATTCACAATTCAAACTGCTACTGAAGTTACTGTTCCTTTCAGATAAAAGCACAATGACATCAATATGCTTACCAGAAAGGCTTGCTCCAGACCTCAGAAATTTTCTACTGGCTAACAGAGGTATGGGTCTCTTCTAAGAATACACTGTTTTGCCACACACCATTGCTTTGTTGCTAAAGGATTTTAATGGCAGTAGTCACTTCCATACTGCCTGCTCGCTGGTCTGATGTACTGCTGATTTACTTTAGCTCGTCTGAAATGACTAATCAAAAGAAACATCATTTTCTGAAATCACCAGAAGATTTTTGTGGAATGGAGAGCAGTGCAATGAATGCCAATGGAGGGAAAGTTGCATTACTTCTATACTTTTGAATCAAGATACACTGCTTTTTCTGGTTCAACTGGTCTGTTTCTGCAACCCGAATTTCTGTAGGTGCTTTTTATATGCTGAAATCAAAATTTCATTCAGTGTGTGTGCATTCATTATAAGCACCTTTTTTGTTAGTGCTTTTAGTTCAAAGAGCCTACAGTACAAAATTTAATTTCTGGTCTTTATTACATGTTTAAGAGGTTTCTTTATGATGCCTATAAAACCACAGAGAAACCAGAATACATTTAAGGTGGTTGATTTTCCCTTTTTCCACTTGAGAACACTCTCCATTTGGAGATACTACTGTTACATAAAGCCCTTAAAATTGTGACTCAGTAAAGACGAGTTATACTTTGGTCATTTGGGAGAGTACAGCAGCACACTTCACTGCCACAGACAACTGCAAGACCCAAAACAAACCGCTCCCCAAAGGGTACAAGCTGCACTGTAAGAGGTTTTGTTTTGATGGAAAGACGTTTTACATTGAGAACACCCCAGGATGTGGTAGAATCCTTATCACTGGAAGTTTTCAAGACGAGGTTGGCCATGTTGCTATACTATTGCAGCCAGCCTCCTTTTTCCCATCAAAAAGATTAGACCTGGTGACCTTTTAAAGTTCCTTCTAATCTGTGCTGTTCTACAAGACAATACAAACATATGTCACTGAGACAGGCCTTTCTTGCTTGAGAAGTACGCATTTCTCTGAACAGAGACAGAACAAAACAATCTTGTGCTAGAGGGTGCGAAGCACAGAGCAGAAATTGCTCTTCTTTATTCTGTTTAGTCAATTTCCTTTCAACTGACTGGAGGCCATTATGTGCCCAAAACAGGAAGGCTTGCTTCCCTGTGGAGATTCAAGGTCAACACGTGTTTCTTCAAATGCTAACCTATGACAGCAATACTTCATGTCCTAGTTCTTAACTGTTCTCTTCAGCCATTCACAGATTACTGAAGTTTGCTCTCTATCAAAAACGTATGTATGATTACATGAACAACACCCCTGCAGTAAAATGCAGTATTTACATACAAAACAGCTCACTGTACCCTAATTACTGTCAAAACGTAACAAATTGTTTCATCTTTTTAAAAAGTAACAACTGAAAAACCATTCTGCAGCCTTTTCTGTTTAGTGCTGCAGTAAAAAGATGACATTAAGATAGGATACTACAGCATGCCTCTAGTGTAATTACAAATCCATTTGACATAACTTGCTACTAAACTTAAAATGCAGCTTTGTACACATTTACAAATCTGTATTATTAAGACAACGTTTGAAGGAGCATTTAGTTATATCTGTTTTATATCTGCGTTTTTAAAACTGCGATCAGCCAGATACGTAGCAGATTTTTCAACATTTTCTGGCCTTTTATTGATCAGAAAAAACCAAACTATTCCAAATAATTTATTTTTGAACAATTGATATTCAAAAACCTCAGTAACCAACTGGTTGAGCAGGAAGGCTGGACCAGATTACCTCCAGAGCTCCCTACCA